TTTAACTTCTGAATCCTACAGGCAAAAAAATTCTTTCATTCCTATAGAGGCTTTACAAAAGATAGTATGACCCCCAAATAATATATCCAACCAAAGTGCTGTCTAAAGAAATGTGTAGAAATTCTCAGACATGAAAGAACTTGGGGCAAGAGCACCCAGAGGCCCTTCTTGCATAAACAACTTGTGCATAAAATTATGATGATTCAAATCAAAGAACTCAGACATGTAGAAATCATACAATATTAGAGGTTACCAATGAATCAATTTCTTTTTTTAAAAGATTATTTATTTATTTGAAGGGCAGAATTACAGAGAGGGAGTGGCAGAGGCAGAGAGAGAGAGATGTATCTCTCTCTTGATGTAGCTGCTGGTTCACTTCCCAAAAGGCTTTATCGGCCAGGTCTGGACCAGGCCGAAGAAAGGATCCAGGAGCTCCATCCAGGTCTCCCACATGGGTACAGGGGGCCCAAGCACTTCGGCCATCCTCTGTTGATTTCCCAGGCACATTAGCAGGGAGCTGGATCAGAAATGCAGCAGCCAGGACTAAGCGGTGCCCATTTGGGATGTGGGCACTGCAGGCCACTACACCACAGTGTCAGCCCCCAAGGAAACAATTTCAAAATGCATATATGAATATAAATATTGTGGGACTATGGCTTTAGAAATAAATATAAAAACTAAAAATATTGAACATAAAAATATTATAATATGGATAATAAATATTTGGCGGTATTGAAAAGAGAGGTGGGGGAAATGATAATTTGAATTTTTTCATCTTTCATGATTTAAAATTGAAACAATTTTTAAAAATGCAAGTAAAATATATTCATGTATTTTATGATCTCTTCTGTTTTTTTATCAAGATTTATTTACTTATTTATTTATATGATCTCTTTCAAAATAAATATCCCCTTTATAAAATAATATCACTTTCAGTGATAAACAACAGCAACATTTAATTAAAATTCAACAAAGTACAGATTTACTATAGTTTCTCTTTTTTATGATAAATTAAAACAAAAGTAAAACAAGGGCTTTGTGTAAAGCAATTTAGAAACTATTTTTTTTATTTATTCATTTTTATTATTTGAAAGGCAGAGTTACAGAGAGAGAGACAGAGACAATCTTCCATCTGCTTTTTCATTCCCTAAATGGCCACAACATGCAGAGCTGGGCTGATCTGAATCCAGGAGCCAGGAGCTTCTTTCGGGTCTCCCATGTGGGTAAGGGGCTCTAGCACTTGGGTCATTTTTTCACTGCTTTCCCAGGCACTTTAGCAGGGAGCTGCAGCAGCCAGGATTCAAACCAGCACCCATATGGGATGCTGGTGCCACAGACCAGGTGGCTTTACCTGCTACATCACCTTTATAGCAATGTATGCATTCAATAATGTCTTTCATGACATTCAGTTAATGATGGTAAAGTTCATCTCTAACAGAACTTAAAGTACTGCTTTTGCCTTCTGGTTGAAAACTTATTGTGTATAACAACTATAACAAGCATGCATGATTTTTAAACAGTAACAACATAAAATAATTTTCCTGCAAAGATAAGAGAAATTCTTCTTGATCATTTAAATAAATGGTGCTAGGAACACAAAAACTTTCCATCTCATAGACTCACTGAAAGCACATACTCAGGGCTGATGGGTGGTACAACAGAGAATACACAATTCATCTAACCTCATGATCTAGTCTGTGATCTGATCTTTGTGAGATTTTTGTTTTCCTTAAGTCTTGCCAGATCTGTAGGAGGCAAAGGAAAATGTTATCCTGCAGAACAGGCAATAAAAGTTAAAATAGAGTTGTCTCTATTTTTCTGTTAACCTAGCCTCTGAATCTTAGGATTGATCCAGAATGTTTGCAACAAAACAAAACACCTAATGAGCTATGACATTAAAAGTATGGAAGAGAAGATTTAGGATCATATTTTATACATTATTTTTAGTAATGTATCCTAAAACACATTAATAATTTTTTTAAGCAAAACAGGAAAAAAAACCTAAATCATTTCTCTTTTTGATCATTGAGCCAGTACCTTTGGCCTTCACTGTCATTTATGTCACTGTGATGATGAACAGATTTCAAAGCCTTATTTAAAGTCTAAATGTGGGTTTTAAAACAGAGGCTCTTTTTTGATACATATTTTTGAAGAATAAATTTAACCATGAAGCTAAATGGTTTTTTGTGGGCAATGACATCTCAAAACTGGCCTTGTACTGTGAGGCAATTCTGTCTGTCTCTCCAAGGACTGAAAAACCCAACTTCAATATTTCCTGGAGGAGATCAAAGGTATGGACACTGGCAGGCACATTGAGAAACAGGATTAGGGCATTTTTAAAGGTGTCACACAAGTTCAACAACAACAACAAATAATTAGGCCATAGAAAGCATTTCATTCATCTTATAAACACACAGCTTTGAATATCCACTTTTTTTTAACATTCTCTCAAGTTAATCCTTCCTTGATTAGGAAAAGTCTCTAACATGTAAAACGTATTCCAAAGGAAAAAAAAAGTGCTTAAGTCTAAAAAAGGAACAAATTAATATCAATATTTTTAAAATGATTATTCTAGTGTTTAAAACATTTTATCTACTGCTTTGATCTTATTAATTTTATTTGCATACATATTTATTTATTTTAGATGTATTTTATTCATATATTTATTAATTTATATTTATGCTTGTATATCTTAGAGACTAGAGTATGAACCCCAACTCCCCCATTTATTATATACTCTGTGATGTTGAGCGGTTTCTTAATATTTTCATTTCTATTTCCTCTTTCATAACTTTACGTTTGCAGTCTTTTTCTGTCTATTAGAATTATATAAAAGTAAATGAAATGAAAGCATGCATGTGAAAATACTAGTAAACTGCAAATAAGTGATTCAAGCATTTTATTTATATTTTATTAGAAACTTGGAACTGACTAAACATATCTAACAGATGATAAATTTAATTTTAAAAGAAAAGTGTTCTTAATTCATAATTTGTAACCCCTATAACATTTAGCAACAAAAGTCATCCCACATTTATATTTTTCCTCAGCTTCTTTAAATTGCCATATCCTCATTTTTTTCTTAAAAAACAGTTCTTAAATATACTCCAAAATCTATGTGTATATTTCATCTAATTATATCTTTCGTTTCCATTTTGAAAAGTCCTAATCATTAAAAATTCTTCCTTTTATTAAAGGAAACCCTCTATTTCCAAATTTCCACAAAGCATTTTGAATCTTCACACTCATATCACTAAATATAGGTAAACTCCTTTTACTACATCAATGTTAATGTATCCCAAATAGAAGTCTCCACAGCACTTCAAACATGTTCCCTAATACTATTCATATATCATCATTGAACCTTTATTCTTCTCTTTCCCTCTCTCCTCCCAGAAACGCAGGCAACAAGTCCTGTGGTGCAGTTTGAAAAGGTAACCAGAATACAACCACCTCTCCTCAACTCTAAGCCTCCTAGAAGGCTTTCTCAACGCCAAACTGATCCCATTTGTATCCTACAACTTCTCTTTCCAAATGAAGACCTGTTACCCATAAAGTCCTCCCCGATCTGGTCCCACTTCCACTCAGACCTCCTCACTTTTCAGCTCTGCTCCAGTCAAACACTCCCTTTTGCTAGTCCTCAAACATGGTGGATCATACCCACCACAGGGGCATTCCACTGGCTCTTCTCTCTGTATAGCATGTACTTTTATTCTTTCAACAGCTGGCTTCTCTGTATATAGGTCTCTGCTTAAAAATGATATTCCTAGAGAGGCTTTCATCACCCTATTGACAACAGCTATAAATTTCCTTCACCAGTTCAATTGTCTTCAAAACATATAAGAGTTAAAGTTTTATATTTATGGGGTGAGCACTTGTTGCGGCTATTCTAAAGTGCTGCTTAGGACACCAGCATCATGCATCAGAGTGCCTGGGTTTGAGTTCTTGCTCTGCTCCTGATTTAAGCTTCTTGCTAATGTGCATTCTGGGAGGTACTTGGGCCCCTGCCACCCAAATGGAAGATCTGGATTGAATGGTGTGTTCCTGGTTTCTGCCCAGCTCAGCTCCAGCTGTTGTAGGTATTTAGGGAGTGAACCAGCTGAAGGAAGACCTTTCTCTCTGTGTCTTTAAAATAAACTAAAATAAATAATTAAAATTGGTTATGTGTTTATTTCCTCTTCCCCACTCTAGAATATAATCTCAACAGACTATGAAAAATGTTGAACTTGTCTATGATTTTATCTTACATGGTGTCTTATGATAATCAAAGATGCACAGAGAGTAAGCACAACAGTCTTGAGACTGTTACCCTGAAAAAAGTCTGCTTCCAAGATTAATTCTTGGTTGGCATTTGAAAACTTAAATAGTAAATGAGTAAATAATTTTCTATACTAATGTAAAACTTTCTCTAAATGATAAAAGTGACTCATTGTACCTACACTATTTTCATAAATAAAGCAGTTCATGATAATTTGCTTTCTGCCTGGGAGCCTGGACTTTATGATACATGCTATGAGACAATTTCCCATGAAGAATTACAAGCACTGAGTCTGTAGCAAGCTTCTTCAGTGGACAACACTTTAACGCATATCATCCCAATCTGATACTGGTGGAATTAAAAGCACTGTGTGACTCTACTGGGTAAGGCCTCTTTTGAAAGCTTACACTGGCTTGCTCTTGACCTTGTACCTCATATCTTTTCTTTCTTTTTTTTTTTTTGCTTTGTATCCTTTCAATGTAATAAATATGATCCATGAGTATATCTATCCTGAGTCATTTTATGTGTTTTATGAAATCAGGGGGCCCAAGCGTGGTTTTATGGATCCTGGCCACAGCAACAAAGAACCTTACCTGATCTCAGGTAAGCTTTGAAAATAATCTAGTAGAACCCAACAGAACAGCACATAAAAAAATTCTGAAATATGTTAATGAATCTAATAAAAAGATCCATCTTTCTTTGAATTAGAATATCCCTACCATAAAGCTCTTTTATTACTTACGTGACTGGTCTGTAGATCTCCTTAACACCAATGAACTGAAGCTGCTCCATAATGTCTGGAATACTTGCACATCGAGTAAGGTTAATTCTTGGGTAATAAAGAAGGTACGAGAGACACATTTCATTTCTTGTGCTTAGTCCTCCCTGAAAATGGAGATATTTTATTTAGCAAAGTATGTGTTTCACCAAATTTAACATTTACAATATACAGATCATCAATACCACATACCTTTGTCCAAAACTTAAATTTAACAAATGCTTTTAAAATATTTATTTATTTATTTGAAAGGCAGAGAGAAACAGATAAAAAGAGAGAACTTTGTATTTGCTGGTTTACTTCCTATATGCCTGCCACAGCCAAGATAGGATCAGGGTCAAAGCCAGGATCTAGACACACAATCCAGGTCTCCCATATGGGTGGCAGAGATCAAATGACTTGAACCACCACCTGCTGCCTCCCAATGTTTCCACTGGCAGAATGATGGAGTCAGTAGCTGGAGCTGGCACTCAAACCCAGGCACTCCAGTGTAGGATATGAGTATCTTAACGTCTAGACTAAGTGCCTACCCCCCAAACTTAGTACAGTTTAAAGCTGAAAATGAGCAACTTAAGTGATGCTTTGGCTTTTAAAAAAGTTAATGATACACTTAAAATTATTTATATCTCTTTAAAAGTTGTCTTTCTTGGGGCAGGCATTTGTCACAGTTGTTAATTCACCAGCTGGATGACTGCATCCCATTTCAGAGGACCTTGCTGAATTTGGCTACTCTGCTTTCAACCCAGCTTCTTGCCAATGCACATCCTGGGGTGCAGCAGATAATGGCTCACATATTTGGGTCCCTGCCACCCACATGGAAGACCTAAATGGAGTTTCAGGATCTCGGCTTCAACTTGGCTTAGCACTGGTTGTTAAGTGCATTTGGAAAGTCAAGCGGTAAATTGATGATCCTCTCTCTCTCTTTCTCTCTCTCTGACTTTCAAATTTTTAAAAAAAGAAATTAACAAGAACTTTAACAATAAATAGATAAATAAAAGTTGCTTTTCTTATCTAGTAATCTTAAATTTCTGCTAATGGCATGCATGTAAACTTACAACACACTGAACATTTCAGTGGATCATGAGTATGTTTGTTTAACATCAAGCCAATCTATCAGTTTTAAGGTGTTTTTGACTGATTGAACTAAATTTTCTGAAATCTGCATCATTTCTATAAACATCAGTAGCTACATAGCACAGGGGAAATATTTATTATTTTGAATCTAGATAATTATCTACTAAAATGTTTTTAAAAGATCAAAGACCCTCAGAAGAACAGAGTCCAGAGTTGCTACAACATATCATCTACTATGTCCAATTTTCAACCAAAAATTATTAGGCATAAAAAGAAACAGAAAATTATGATTTGCAGTTGGGGTAGAAGTCAGTAGAAATAGATTATGAGAAGATACAAATTCTAAGTTTAGCAGACAAAGACTTAGAAACAACCATGAGAATGTTCAGAGCATTAAAGAAAAATGTGTTCAATTAAAAGCGATGTTTAACTATGGAATAGCTCCAGGAAAAGAAAAACATTTTAATAAATGAATAAAAGAAATTCTAAAGCTGAGTAAGAACTACACAGGATGAGCTCAACTGCATTTTTGAAATAAGCGAGGAGAAAATCAGTGAATTTGATCAATAGAAATGATCCTAACCAAGGAAAAAAGAAAAATAAAAAGGAAAGTGAACACACTTCAGAGATCTGTGGGACAATATTAAATGTCCCACCACACACATAATCCAAGTTCCAGAATGGGAGAAAAGAGAAAAGTGGATTAAAAAATGAAGAAACAATGCTTAAACTCATGCCAAACTTAAAGGAAAACATTAAATACAGACTGGAGTAGCTCAACAAATGCCAAAGAGAAATACAAAAAGAACCATACCTAGACACATCACAGTCATACTGCTGTAAGCCAAAGGCAAAGAGAAAATCTTGAAAGCACCAAGAGAAAAGCAAGACATCACATACAGACAAACAATGATACAACCGACAGCTGACATTTCATTATAAATGATGGAAGGAACAAAAATAAGTTGGAATTCCATATTCAAGTGCTACAAGGAAAAGATAAATTGTCTTTTTTTTCTTTTTTTATTTTGTAAATATAAATTTCCAAAGTACAGTTTATGGATTACAATGGCTTTCTCCCCCACCCATAACTTCCCTCCCACTTGCACCCCTCCCATCTCCCGCTCCCTCTCCCATTCCATTCACATCAAGATTCATTTTCAATTATCTTTATATACAGAAGATCGATTCAGTATTATTAAGTAAAGATTTCATCAGTTTTCACCCACACAGAAACACAGAGTGTAAAATACTGTTTCAGTACTAGTTATAGCATTACTTCACATTGGACAACATATTAAGGACAGATCCCACATGAGAAGTAAGTACACAGTGACTCCTGTTGTTGACCTAACAATTTGACACTCTTATTTATGGCATCAGTAATCTCCCTAGGCTCTAGTCATGAGTTGCCAAGGATATGGAAGCCTTTTGAGTTCGCCAACTTCAATCTTATTCTGGCAGGGTCATAGTCAAAGTGGAAGTTCTCTCCTTTCAGAGAAAAGTACCTCCTTCTTTGATGGCTCTGTTCTTTCCACTGGGATCTTACTCACAGAGATCTTTCATTTAGGTCTTTTTTTTTGTTTGTGTGTTTTTTTCCAGAATGTCTTGGCTTTCCATGCCTAAAATACTCTAATGGGCTCTACAGCCAGATCCAAATGCCTTAAGGGCTGATTCTGAGGCCTGAGTGCTATTTAGGACATCTGCCATTCTATGAGTCTGCTGTGTTTCCCGCTTCCCATGATGGATCGTTCTCTCCCTTTTTGATTCTATCAGTTAGTATTAGCAGACACTAGTCTTGTTTGTGTGATCCCTTTGACTCTTAGACCTATCAGTGCGATCAATTGTGAACTGAAATTGATCACTTGGACTAGGGAGATGGCATTGATACATGCCACCTTGATGGGATTGTATTGGAATCCCCTGGCACGTTTCTAACTCCACCATTTGGGGCAAGTCCGATTGAGTATGTCCCAAATTGTACATCTCCTCCCTCTCTTATTCCCATAGATAAATTGTCTTTTAAAAAAATTTTTTTTAACAGGCAGAATTAGACAGTGAAAGAGAGACACAGAGAGAAAGGTCTTCCTTCCTTTGGTTCACCCCTGAAATGGCTGCTACGGCCGGCTTGCTGCGCCGATCCAAAGCCAGGAGCCAGGAGCTTCCTCCGAGTCTCCCATGCGGGTGCAGGGCCCAAACACTTGGGGCATCTGCCACTGCCTTCCCGGGCCACATTAGAGAGCTGGACTGGAAGAGGAGCAATTGGGACAGAATCTGGTACCCTAACCGGAACTAGGACCAGGGGTGCCGGCGCCACAGGCAGAGGATTAGCCTAGTGAGCCACAGCACCGGCCAAATTGTCAACTAAGAATCCTGTATTCAGTAAATCCACCCTTCAAGAAGGAAGGTCAAAAAATTAGTACTACCATTCCTGGTTACAAAATAATGTAGTGGTTAATGGACAAAATTTTTTATTAATTCTAGAAACTTAATGTCCTTACTTGCTCAAGGCAGGACTGGGCAAAAGGAGAAGATGATATGTGAAAGAGGTTGCAACTGATGCCCCAGTAAATATCGTACTTTATTTATCTTTGAGCTGGGATGACCATTCAGAGCTGTACAGAATTATAAGAAGGCAGTTGAACTACTATAGTCTCATATTAACTCCTCGTTGACTTCTGGCTGCCCAACTTCGTGGAACTGAGTGTTCTCTAAAACAAATAGTAATTCCCACAACAGCAGCTCCCACTGTGGAACATGGGTGTGTGCTATCATGTCATCACCTGACATTCCCAGGGGCTGGAGTTGGTTGTATTGGCCATAAATAGGCTATGAAGGTAGTGCACTGAAACATCTGCTACAATAGTAACTTATTATGTCTTTAGTAAAACATTTCACACAAGTAAAAATTATATGTAATGCATGAGGAAAAATAAAATCAACACCAGTGCATTGATTAACTCCTGTGTACCCAGCTCCAAACCCATTCTTCTCAACCTAACCAAACATGATAATTGTCTTAATTTTTTTTAATCTTTCTATTGTTTTTCATTACATTTTATTCCAGGTTATTAAAACATTTTAATTTTGTATGTTTTTGAGTTTTACATAGACATTGCTTTACATAAATTCTGCTACAAACAGCTCTTTTCAATCAACATTATGTTCTTCAGGTACATTAATGTTAACATATGTAGCTCGCCGGCACTGTGATGTAGCGGGTAATGCCACTGCCTGTAGAGCTGCCATACCATATGGGCACTGGTTCAAGTCCTGGCTGCTCCACTTCTGATCCAGCTCTCTGCTATGGCCTAGGAAAGCAGTAGAAGATGACACAAATCCTTGGGCCCCTGCACCCATGTGGGAGACCCAGAAGAGGCTCCTGGCTCCTGGCTTTGGATCAGCGCAGCTCCAGCCATTGCGGCCAATTGGGGAGTGAACCAGCTGATGGAAGACCTTTCTCTCTCTTTCTCTTTCTCTCTCTTTCTGCCTCTCCATCTCTCTCTGTGTAACTCTGACTTCCAAATAAATAAATAAATCTTAAATAAAAACATATGTAACTCTGGTTTATTATTTTTCATAACTATTGCTATTTCATTATATAAAGATACCATAATGTATTTATTCACTTTCCTTTTTACAGATATGTGAACTGTTTCCAGTTTTTTTTTGTTCCTGTGTTGTTAGGCATTACTATGAATATTTTACACAATAGTGTCCTGAAATTCATCCTGCAAATATAACACCATGGGTAAATTTACACAGGAATGGAACTGGAAATAGCACATATGAAGCTCCAACTCTACTAGATAATCTCATGTTTCTACCCAATTAGGCTTTACAAATTTACATTTTCCTAGGCAATATCAGAATGTTTAGCTTTGTATGTAGGAATTGCAACTTTATTGCCAAATGGTGGGTATAAATATCTCACCCTATTGTGCATTTGCATTATGCCATTCTCCACAAAAACATTGTGCCCTTTTTAAAATGTTTCTTAATTAACTGCATTTTTATTTCTGTGTAATATATTTGTTTTCCTATTGTGTATCTGTCTCCTGTTACTGATATTTGGAATTTTTTATATGCTGGATAATAATGCCTTGTTAATCCATGTATTATACATTTTTTTAGTTTAAAACTTATCTGTCATTTTCTCAATAGTGGTTTTTGATGACGGAGAGCTTTAAGGTAGTAATTTATCATTAAAAAGCTTGTGTTTTCTATGTTTTGTGTAAGAATTTCTTTACTTCTTGGTCCTGAAGTTATATTCAGAATTTTTCTTTCAGTAGTTTTAAAATTTGCTCTTCACATTTAAATATTTAATTTATCTGGAACTTATTTTTATGTATTACATGAGATTAAAACTCAATTTTATTTTTGTCATATGGATATCAAGTAGTCCCAGAACCTTTTAACGAAAAACTCCAACCTTTTGCACTTATCTGAATACAAGTTTCCAGATACAGGATTTGAAGATGGATTTCTAGGATTGCTATTCTGTTTCACTGTTCTAAATCTGGATCCAAATCACCCTGTATTAATCACCACGTCTTTAAAATAAGCCCTCATATATCATAGTTTATCTTCCATCTCATTCTTTCTAGTAGTGTTTTGTCTATTGTTAACATTTTGCTTTTTGATGTAAATTTTGGAATCAACTTGCTCTGTGTAAAAGCTAAAAGTGTAAAGTTATTACCAAAATCAAATCTTGAAAATACTAAATAAATATTTAAACATGAAGAGATCATCTTCATAGCATAGTTAGGTGAAGCCTTCTTAGTTAGGATATCAAGATTGCAAATCATAAAATATCTTAATTATTTTGCCAAATTTATAGATTAATTTAAATTGAATGAAGGAATTTTCTCTATTGTACTGAGCTCATCTATCCATGAACATGGCAGTTCTTAATTTTTAGGTGTCCTTTAATGTATTACAATAAAGATTTCTAATTTTTCCATAAAGGTCAAATACATCTAATGTTAGATTTTATTTCTATACAACTTGTCATTTTAAATTACATTTATTGAGATAATTTCTTACACCCTGATGCGTAATTAATTTTAAATATCAATCCTGGCCCTATTGAGATAATAATACGTTTTTTTTCTTCAACCTCTTAAGGTAGATTGGCATTAACGTATTTTCTAATTTAAATAAATATTAACTAGGGGTTGGCACTGTGGTGTAGTGGATTAAGCCACCTGCAGCTTCAGCCTCCTATACTAGAGCAGCAGTTTGAACCCTGGCTGCTCTACTTCCAATCCAACTTTCTGCTAATGTGCATGGGAAAGCAGTGGCTAACACTCCAGTATTTGGGCCCTGCCGCCCATGTGGAAGACGTGGATAGAGTTCCAGCCTCTTGGCTCAGACTGGCTTACCCATGGCCATTGCAGCCTTTTGGGGAGTGAACCTGCCATGGAAGCTCTCTCTTGTTCTCTTCTCTCTCTCTCTCTTTCTCTCTCTTTCCACGCCCCCCTTCACTCTGTCTCTCAAATAAATAAAAAATAAATTTTAACTAAATCCAAATTGGCAGTAACATTAGACTTACATGTGAAAGTTACTTCAAAATGTTTTTGGAAAAATTTGAAGTAAAAAGTAAGTTTGGGTGCAAAACTATTTGAAATTCATGCAGTTTTTTTCACTATACAAATTTTCTATGAACCTTTTTGAAGATCCCTTAAATAATGCAATATTTGGTTTCTCAATTCTTTGTCAAAGTTATTTCAATCAGGTGTACATTATTAGTCTCTTTCATGCTGTTCTTACGAAGTTTTAGTATTAGTAGTGCTAACCTCATAAAATGAGTTCGTGGAAGATATTCCCTCTTTTTGTTTCCCTGGAAAAGACTGAAGAAGTCATGAATTATCAATTTCTTGAATGCTTAGTGGAACTACCCCATAAATGTGCTGGGACAAGATTTCTCTTCGGCTCAGAGGCCCTGATGTCATGGAGTTCATTCTTCCTTTTGAAGCCTGGATTTATCTAAGTCCAGGCTCAAGTAGACAGGCAGTTAATAACCATGTACTTTTCATGAAAGGATAAATAAATTACACTGTGAACACTACTATAGCATCATTAGTTAACTTGAAGTCTGATAAAATGCTTAAAATGGCTCTTATTTCAACTCAATGATGTTTCATGCAGAAGACTTTTAAGAATTTTATTTCTAAATGGAAATGGTTTTTCCTTTTTAATCTAAAATTAAAGCTTTTCCCTTTCCATCCATACATGAACTTTAATAACAATAAATATATTCTTACCCAGGTCATCCCAACTCTATCCTTTGTGTTGTAGCGACATTCGGTGATTAAGTTATCTCCCTAAAACATAAAAGTAAAAGCAGTCAGGGTGAAGCTCTATGCTGTTATTTAGTTGAGATACTTGTAGGATACTAGTTAGTATTTCCTGTAAGAATGGATGTATCCAGCAATTTGATTCAAGGAAAGGTTTTTGATCTGTTTACCTTTTGATTTGCTAGTATAAAAAGCAAGGAAACACAGAAATATGCTCTTCCGTGTCCAGACCAGATTCCATAATATTCTAGCTGGATAACCTAGCTAAGGAAGTGAATAATCCAGGTACAACTTGTTCATCTAAAAGAAAATGATAAGTGCCGACATTGTGGTGTAGCAGGTAAAGCCATTGCCTGTGACACCAGCATCCCATATGGGCACCCATTTGTGTTCCAGCTACTCCACTTCCAATCCAGCTCCCTGTCGTTGGCCTGGGAAAAGCAATGGAAGATGGCCCAAGTGCTTGGGCCCTCACCACCGACATGAAAGACCTGGATGAAGCTTCTGGTTCCTGGTTTTGGCCTCGTCCAGTGCTAGCCATTGCACCCATCTGGGGAGTGAACCTGTGAATGGAAGACCTCTGAATTGAGATCTGAATGGACCTGTGAATGGAGACTGTCTCGTCCTCTCTCTCTGTAACCCTGACTTCCAAATAAATAATCTTTTTTATTTATTTATTTATTTTTTTGACAGGCAGAGTGGACAGTGAGAGAGAGAGACAGAGAGAAAGGTCTTCCTTTTTGCCGTTGGTTCACCCTCCAATGGCCACCGCGGCCAGCATGCTACGGCCGGTGCATTGCGCTGATCTGAAGGCAGGAGCCAGGTGCTTCTCCTGGTCTCCCATGCGGGTGCAGGGCCCAAGCACTTGGGCCATCCTCCACTGCACTCCCTGGCCACAGCAGAGAGCTGGCCTGGAAGAGGGGCAACTGGGACAGAATCCGGCGCCCTGACCAGGACTAGAACCTGGTGTGCCGGCGCGGCAAGGTGGAGGATTAGCCTAGTGAGCCATGGCGCCAGCCTAAATCTTTTTTAAACAAAGAAAGTGATTTTAAAAAACCACTTGAAAGATTGTTGTGAGATTAAATGAAATTATGCATATTCAGTTCTTAGTAGAGATCACATATTTACAATGTTGGTCATAAAGACTAATTAATTACTGTGATCACTTCTTCATTTGTATTATTTTAAGCTCTTTAGTCATGTTATATGTTCTTTTTTTTTTATCTTTGACAGGCAGAGTGGACAGTGAGAGAGAGAGAGAGAGAGAGACAGAGAGAAAGGTCTTCTTTTTGACGTTGGTTCACCCTCCAATGGCCACCGCGGATGGCGCGTTGCGGCCGGCGCATTGTGCTGATCCGAAGCCAGGAGCCAGGTGCTTCTCATCTCCCATGAGGGTGCAGGGCCCAAGCACTTGGGCCATCCTCCACTGCACTCCCAGGCCATAGCAGAGAGCTGGCTCTGGAAGAGGGGCAACCAGGACAGAATCCGGCGCCCCGACCAGGACTAAAACCCGGTGTGCTGGCGCCGCAGGCGGAGGATTAGCCTATTGAGCCGCGGCGCCAGCCATGTTATATGTTCTTACAACAGAATTGTGAAGAAAATCAATTGTAACTTATTCTAATCTTTTCTTACCTTTTGAACATCATAGCATACATGGAAAGTAATATGTTTGTGGCTCCTCTCTAAGATAAGTGGATGAAGCAACTCATGGTCCAGAGCCAGCCACCTCTGGTGCTTGCCCTTAGATTTTCCCTCCCTCCTCCACTATTCAGAGGCTCAGAGGTCAGTATCTCAGCACATAGATCCTACTCATGGAACATCTGTTAGAAAGATCTGAGATAATTCTGTTTGAAAAATCCTAAGACAATACAAAGAGATAAAGTGCAGTCTTTAAACAATCATGACAGGGCAATTGCTTCTCAAATGTCATCTTTCTACTCTGAGGACATTAATAGCAAATTTCTGCAAGAAATACAGAAAACTGTGGACTTAAAGGACAGTTATTAGAAAGAAATTCCTTCTTTTCATAACTTTCTTCTTTTATTAATTTTTCAACTTACATTATGTTGTACTATGCCTTCTCATCTCACTTCTTTTTGTTTTTTAAATATTTATTCATTTATTTGAAAATCAGAGTTATAGATGAGAGACAGAGAGCATGCTTCCATTTGCTGGCTCACTCCCCAGATGGCTAAAATGGCTGGGGCTAGGTCAGACCAAAGCTAAGAGCCTGCAATTCCATTTAAGTCTCCAATGTGGGTGCAGGGGTCCAAGGATGTAAGCCATCTTCTAGTGCTTTCCCAGGTACATTAACAGGGAGCTGGATCAAAAGTGGAGCAGCCAGAACTTCAAGCTGTGCTCATATAGTATGCTGGAGTCACTGGTGGTAGCTTTACTTGCTGTGCCAGAAAGCCAGCTCTCATTCTTTCAAATACTGTCTCCAGCATCATGTAGAAAGACATTGCATCACTTCTCAGCCTTTTAGCTAAGATCAAGTGTGAAATACTTTGCTATTGCTATCATTTCATAAGTAGAACAAGATGTGACTTTTAAGAGTGGGGTAAAAGTAGGAAATTGTGATATTTAATGGTCATGGCATAAAAATTTTGAAAACATGAAATATCACAAAAATGTTACAAAGGCTTTCAATATTCTAAGGCATGCAATTCTCTCCTACCCTTTTACTGTAACTCCAAATACTGTTTCAAGCTGGGTTACATTGCACAGTAGGAATGAGCTATGTTTGAATACTTTTGTTAAATGAATTATTCTTATATTCATTTTTACTGAAAAAAAATTTCATAAATTATCCCATATTGTTAATATGGGACAAAGCTCTGATTCAACCATTACCAAAATTGCAACTCAAAAGATCACTAATTGAGAAATCAAATAAAAAAAAAGTATTGTTTAGTGTTTAGAACTTGATGTTTTTTGTTTTCTGCTTTTTTTCCCCCTAACTATTTGAATGACTTCTGGAATAGTAAGAAAAAATGAGTTGATTTTGGAAAACAGATCAAACACATTCCATCAGGGTTGTGCAACACCCACACTGGGTGGCTTTAAGAATGTGGAGGTGATGATTCACTTTTCTGTTATATCTCAGCAGATACATATCTCATGGATTTTATTAAATGAAAATGATCAAAAACATGCATACTGGTAAGATTGTTCGTTCTTCCTTTAGATACTGGAACTCCTGGAAATTGAAGTCGAAATCATCGTCATAAGCAAGTAATTTCATTTCATCCCCTTTGCGAAAATGACGTAGCCTGATGCCCCTGCCAGCCAGGTGAGCATGGAGAAGAACAGCAAACACATGAATTCCACTTGGCTTTTCAGCTTCCAGAGCCTGCAGGTACACCGAGGAAGACTAAGATCAGATGAGCACAAACAAACTCCTGTACAGACAATTCACCTTCAAATGCACTTGGAGGGACAACTGAGAAGAAAAGCTAAAGCAATTTAAGTGAGTGCTTGAGTTGCCAAACATTTTGAATTTGGATGGTTTAGTGTTCTCTGTGAAGCAATATTGGTGCTAGGAGACAAGCAAAGGAACTGAAGCTTACTAAGGACATGCCAGACCATTCCTAAATGTTATTTTTATTACTTCTTTCTTTTGGGAGCTTAAGAGACAGCCAGCACTCCCAGCAAAAAGCTTTCAGAATATTTGTAACCTTAGAATCCAAACATTTTTTTTAAGATTTTTGTTATTTATTTGAAAGCCAGAGTTACACAGAGGCAGAGGCAGAGGCAGAGAGAGAACGAGAGAAAGAGAGGTCCTTTTTTTTTTTTTTTAAAGATTTTATTTATTTGACAGGTAGAGTTACAGTGAGAGAGAGAGACAGAGAGATAGGTCTTCCTTTCATTGGTTCACTCCCCAAATGGCTGGAGCTGTGCCAATCTGAAGCCAGGAGCCAGGAGCTTCCTCCCGGTCTCCCACATGGGTGCAGGGGCCCAAGGACTTGGGCCATCTTCTACTGCTTTCCCAGGCCATAGCAGAGAGCTGGACTGGAAGAAGAGCAACTTGGACTAGAACCAGTGCTCATATGGGATGCCGGCACTGCAGGTGGAGAATTAACCTAGTATGCCATGGTGCCAGCCCTCAGAGCTCTTCTATCCACAGGTTCACTCCCTAAATGGCTGCAATGGCTGGAGCTGAGCCTATCCAAAGCCAGGATCCAGAAGCTTCTTCCAACTCTCTTAGGAGAATGCAAGAGCCCAAGAACTTGGGCCATCTTCTACTGCTTTCCCAGGCCATAGCAGAGAGTTGGATCAGAAGTGGAGCAGCCAGGACTTGAACTGGTGCCCATATGGGATGCCGGTGCTGCAGGCTGGGGCTTTAACCCATTGTGCCACAGCACAATGGAACCGAGAATCCAAACTCCTAAAAGGAAAAATCATTCTCACTTTTTCAGATAAGAAAGCCAAGGTGTGTCAGTGGAATTAAATAGATCACCCTTGGTCTTACAGCCAACATGGTGACATGGCCATCAGAGTCATGGTCTAAATAACTCAAAAGAGCATAATCGTTCTCCCACTGCACCAATCTGCCATACTGTCCACAGCACAAGAAAAACAGAAAAAATGAAATGAATGATGAAAAAAAATTTGCATACAAGGTGAAGAAGAGAAAGGAAAGACTATACAAACAAAGATATAAATTGTAAAAGATTAAATAAAGTATCTAATATAAACAAATGGAAGGAGTAAGAAGGAAAAATATCCTACAAGTTATTCTTGTCTTTGGAATTATACTCCTGTGGACTTCATGACTTAAAAAGACAATATTTCTGCTCAAAATATCATAATGGTTTCACAATGTGCTGGCAAGCAAAATAATAAACAAACATATAATTTTTCACACCGTAGTTTCTAAGAGCACTGCTTAATATTTAGATAGCTGCTCAAAAACTCAGATACTGCATACCTCTTCCAGGCATTCCAGAGTGCAATGACCCTCGGACCGGAATTCTGGCATCCCTGGAGGAATGGTATGGAAGAGGCTCACCCAGAGGCCAGCCTCAATTACTCCAGCATCATATTCCCTTATATCCGTTGTATGAAATAACCGCAGTCCAGAATTATCTATTAAGCCTGTAATAAGAGTACATCATTAAATGTATTTGATTTTTTAAATTAAAACCCTTGTATTTAGTTGAAATTAATTTATTTTCTTTAAATCTCACAAGAGAAATGATAGAAGCAGAGATTAATGTAAGACAACAATTAGTTTCACATGAAAGACTTAAAATGAGTCACCACGTTGTCTGCCACTGTGGTGGACACACAGATCACATCCTGAGGGAAATTACTGAGATAAAAACTGATACATTTCACTATTATCTAATATGACAACAGAATGAAAATTATAGTCATCATGAGCACCGTATATTTGGAACTAATTTATATCACAAATGAAAAATGTCTATTATTCTATTTCCTGGCAGGTAATATGTAAGCTTTTTTTTTTTTTTCAGATTATAGCCATATGTGCCCATTTGCCTAGTTCAGTGTGTTTTAATGCTGACTGTCCCAGTATAATCATGAATAGTGCTTTTTTTCACATTACAAAGTACCCTAATTTGGATGATAAACATATAGGTCAATTTGTTGCAACCTGTTTGCAGTTTTGTTTCAACCCTTTTTTTTAAAAGATTTATTTTATTTATTTGAAGGGCAGAGTTATAGAGACAGAGAGGAAGAGGTCTTCCATCCGCTGGTTCACTCGACAAGGGGCAGCAATGGCAAGGGTTGGGCTAGACTGAAGCCAGGGTTCAGGATTTTCATCTGGGTCTCTCACTTGGGTGTAGGGGCCCAAGGACTTGGGCCATGGTCTGCTGCTTTCCCAATCACATTAGTAGGGAGCTATATCAGAATTGGAGCAGCCGGGACATGAACCAGCACCCATGTGGGATGCTGGAATTGCAGACAGTGGGTTAATCCAACATACCACAACGGCAGCCCCTCAGTAAAGGTAAGAGCTACAAACTTTTTAAAAATTAATAAGTAAAATATACAAAGTGTTAAACTCACCTTTCTTATGAGTTGGATTGTCATAATGGACTTCTAGGAGCACATAATGTGGATCTAACGGAGTGCCAAGGGATAATCCCACGTGAGGTGGATAGGAAAAACCCTAAATATGGAAAATTCCATGAGACGATATACCATGTAAGTCCCTGACAGCTCTACTCCACTCAGAGGCCAAGGATTCTATAAGATACTTTGACCCTTTAGAACTCCATTATTCTAGTATTCAAACAGTATTTTTCACTTCGTGTTTCTATGTGGGTGCAAACTGTTGAAATCTTTACTTAATATATGCTAAACTCATCTTCTGTATATAAAGAGAATTGAAAATGAATCCTGATGTGAATGGAAGGGGGGAGGGAGGGAAAAAGGGGAGGGTTGCGGGTGGGAGGGAAGTTATGGGGTGGGGAAGCCATTGTTATTTTTTTTCTGTACTTTGGAAATTTATATTCATTAAATAAAAGTTAAAAAAAAGAACTCCATTATTCTATATTTGATTAGATAAAATGATTTACAGGAAGAATCCTTTCCATGAAAACAGAAATACACCACCCTCATATCAAAAATAGTGTGTAGAGCTTTACTTATTAGAACTGTATTTGGGAGGGTGGGAACATGATCAGTTACTCCTGCTACATCTCAGTGATCATTAGCCCCACCTCTCCACCAATGGCCCAGGCAAAAATCACGGTCTCGCAAGTGAGGAAGGCATCGGGCATGTTTGGGTGGTAACACTCATGACCGTAGTCCAGGACACTGTCATTGAAGCTGCTACTGCACTGATAGAGCAGGATGTGGTGGACCAGACTCTCGTGTCCTCTCTGTATCACTGGCTCCACCTGCACAGACACAAACAAGAAGGATGTGATGGGGAGAACCATGTTACAACATCCTACAACAAGTACAAAACTAGCATAACTGATCACCAGTTTATTGTCCAGACATCCTTCTCAATTATGCATTTCAGGTATAATTTGTGCTAGAGGTGATGATGATGATGATGATGATGATGAAGAAGATGATAATGATAAGGGCAACAACCAAGATAATTATTTACTCCAAGAATCAGAGGACTTTACTTGTCTGCTTATGTTTTGTTTTTAACTCACATTTGTTCTCTTTACCCATTCTGCTAAGCAACTATTTAAAAACTTGCTTACATTCTTCTAGGTTTTACCTTGCATTGATCCTCTTCCCTCCTATTTTTTCCCATGCACTAGAAGAAAGAATTCAGAACTATAGGTGCAAATATTGTTTCCTCTCCCACCTCAAAATCTTCTCTTTACCCATCCCTATTGGACATGATAGATGATGTCCCATTTATTTTTATATATACACCTGCTTAGCACAACTTAGGATTCAACCATGGTTATTTTATTTTGATGATTAAGATCAAATTTTAATAATAATTTTTTATAATTTGATAAAGAGAAAAAGAGGTGCATGACACTGCTCAAATTAGAAGAAGCAAACCAGAAAGTGGTTAAAAGGATGAGTAGTGAAGTGGGTCCTAATACTGAAAGCGTAAGCAAGGTGTGAAAACTCCGTCTGTGTCTTCTCTGTAAGTTCCCTTCATAACATTGGCCTACTTTAGACCATGAGCTTGGAAACTGATTCTGAATGAGTGGAGCACATCTTAGCATCCCAGAGACCCCTACATCCAGACGAAATTGGAACCTAAGCAGCCTACCTGGGCTGTAGGTATTCCCACCAGTAATAGGGTTCTTTGAATAAAGAAACCCTGGTGTGTTCCTAAATTCCAGAGACACAGCTGCCATAGAGCCCTTGAACCCTTCTGCTTTTAGCCCTAACTACTCAAATTCAGGCACCGCATTTTGAAAATTTTGCCTGCTCTCTGCTTCAGACATGCATATTTACATGATGTGTTTTCAGCTATTTTATCCTAGGGCTTTCCATTTTCTCTACATCGTTTCTCTTTCCTGAAGGAAAATCTAAGCAGTCAAAGGGACAAAGGGGATGCAGTGGATAGAAGTCTCAATGTGCAAAGAATCCAAGCTATTAAATCCAGTTTTCTTTTGTGTTCCATAGTGAGTCACGCCACACCTTACCCATATGTACAATGGAGACATCACAGTCACAGGAATAACACTACACATGGTTTTGTTTGTACTTGTCTAGTCTCTCAAAGGTCGTAAGCCCTGGAGGCAGAAACTGTTTTTTATTTTTCTTGAAATTGACAGTTATTGTTCAAGCATGATTTCATAATAACTAATGATTGCACAGAAGTGTAACATAGGGTTCTCATTAGAATTTAATTTACACATTGAGTGTGAGCTTTCTCATGAGACTAGACTTGTTCAGATGCCTCAGGAGTCCGAGAGGGACAGGGCCCTGCTGATGTGTGCATAGCAAAATATTCAGGCATACAGAAGGTTTTTGTTTGTTTTGCTTTGTTTGTTTTGCTCAGAGAGCATTTTAAGTTCAGGCAGACCCTGAAGATTGATCTGAATCTACAAGGGAGATTTTGAAATGAAGTCACTAGGTCCAATGAGAGCTGCTGTTGCCAAGGCATCTACAGAACTAAAGGTCTTCATTGAGGAATAGCAAGAGGTAGCAAAGAGTGTGGCATGGAGTATGCAATGTTAGGTGGTACCTGACTTTAGAGAGCTTCAAATAAACCGCATTCAAAAACCTTTCACCAGCAAGTGCCCTTTTTATGGCAAGTCCTGAAACTAACACCAAGCTGCCAAGCTACCAATGCATTCCTGAAGTATTACAATAGTATATCTTTTATTTAATAATTACAGTAATAGGTCTTTTATTGAACACCTTCTCCCACTATTATTGCTCATCCTACAAATTTTATTTAATACTTACAACAAATACATAAATTAAATGTTACTCTGTTCATCTTGCAGTCGAAAAAACTGAGACCCAGGGAGATCAAGCAACAAAGTTCACAGCTAGGAAGTGGTAGATGGGGATTTGAAACCAGGCTGACTGATTCCAGCACTTATGATCAAACAATAACACAGTACAGCAGGAAGAAGTGCTGGAGATCAACAGGGACACTGGAAGTCGATGCCAGTGGGAAGGAGGATGAAGGTAAATTGTTGACAGCTGTCATCCAGGGTGGTGATCACATCATGAGCCAATGCCAGAAGGTGCTTCTAGGAGCCACTAGCAAGAACCACACAACACTGCCATCAGAGACGCAGCACCAGACTCGTGTGTGTGTGTGGCTTTGGGGGGCTCATCCTGATCTCCTTTCCATCCTAGTCCAAGTGTTTCTTGGCCTCTAGACATTGCAGACAGAGCTTTCAATTTTCTTTCCTAAAGGCAGAAGATAAAACATCTCTTCTGTCAACCTTATGAGGCATTCAAGAATTAAATTGTGGATGTGAGGGTGATCTGGCTGTGACATCTGTCACCCCACTGATTGCCAGGGTTGACTCGCTTGATCTGGCTGGCTAGGCTGGTGCCCCTTTTCCCCCTCACTGCTCCATGTGCATCCCTCCTGAAGCTGTGCACTCAGTCTAAGAGGACAATCTTCCCCACTAGAGAAAGAAGGACTGTCTTCTGTCGAAGGTATACGAGTAGCTGTGCTCCCCTGCTAGAACCTCCAAACAAGCTCTCAAGAATTAAATTATAATCCAACATCCAGAATACAATGTGAGGGTGCAGCCTAAAACATGAGGATCTCATAGGGAAAAAAAAACCACACTCCTTGAACAGCAAGGAGATTTTCTGCAAGTTGGGGTATTAACCACAAGAGGAGAAGATAAAAAAAGACTTGGATAAGCAAAGCCTGGTGCCAAATATAAAGCATGTAAAAGAAGAGAGGCAGAAGGAAAGAAAAAGAAGTGGTTGGCAATTATATAAGGACAACTATGAATTAAGGAGTCACTACTGTAGAGGGACAAAGACACTGGTTATCAAACTCTTAAAGATTAGAAGTTCTGGAGATGGAATTTAAGAGCAACATGGAGGATAATTAAGTGAAGCACCAAAAATGGTCCTTAAGAATGGGCATAGCAGATTGAGTGGACGGTACAAATTCCAGGAAGCAGGAGCACTTTGTTCATCACAGGGTAGGGCCATCAGCTCAAGGGGCTCACCAGGGGACAGAGTTTTTCACAAGGTTCTTATCATGCTTTTATTTGTGTAATTAAAGCTTTATTAGGGCATAGCCACGTTCATCCATTTATATACTGATGTAGATGAAGACACTACACTATAGCCTACAAAGCCTGAAATCTTTTTTATGAGTTATTTATTTATTTAAAAGACAAAGTTACAGAGGGGCAGGGGCAGAGAGAGAGAGAGAGAGAGAGAGAGAGAGACTGGTTCACTCCCCAAAATAGCTGCAATGGCCGGAGCTGGGCTTATCTGAAGCCAGGAGCCAGGGGCTTCTTCAGGATCTCCCACGTGGGTACAGGGGCCCAAGGACTTGGGCCATCCTCTACTTCTTTCCCAGGTCATAGCAGAGAGATGGATCAGAAGTGCATCAACCAGGTCTCCAACTGGCACCTATATGGGATACAGGCACTGCAGGTGGCAGCTTTGCTCATTTCACCACAGCACTGGCCCCACCTGAAATATTTTGTTTTTAGGATTTATTTATTTGGGGGCCGGCGCTGTGGTGCAGTGGGTTAAGCCTCTGCCTATGGCACCAGCATCCCATATGGGCACTAGTTCTAGTCCCAACTGATCATCTTCTTATACAGCTCTCTGTTATGGCCTGGGAAACCAGTAGAAGATGGCCCAGATGCTTCGGCCCCTGTACCTGCACGGGAGACCTGGAAGAAGCTCCTGGCTCCTGGCTTCGGATCAGCTTAGCTCCAGCCATTATGGCCATTTGGGGAGTGAACCAGCGGATGAAAGACTTTCTGTCTCTCCCTCTCACTGTCTCTAACGCTCTCTCAAATAAATAAATACAGTCTTTTTATAAAAGATTCATTTATTTATTTGGTTCATACCATGTTTATGAAGGCTAATCATGTATGGCATAATAATGGCACATATATGGTTGCCACCAACCCCAAAATGATAGCTCATCATTTCCTTTTGCTTCCCCAAGCAGCTCCACAAGCACTTTAAGTCATAAAACTTGTATTTTAAGTCATGCTGTGCTATTGTTCTGTAGCCCAAGTAAGGCTGAGTTGCTAAGTAAGACATCTTCTGAGTAAATGCTCCATGGCACTTCCTGTCTGTTGATTGAACGCAAACATTAAACACTGCCATGTCATGTGTCCTGGGAAAGTCTCCTTTCACATCATCACAGTATTTGGAATGATGGCAGAATAACACATTTTTTACAATTCAAAAATGTGAGCACTGTAAGGCTAAAATGAATCAATACAGCAACAAGCAGAACTTTGAAACCACACCCTACTTTGGTAGGATACCTCATACATGTGCCATTATTATCACGATCAAAATGAGAATGCCAAAAGTTGCCTCTATTCAAAAAAGCTATTAAAGGTACAAGAATTGTTCAAGATGTCCGTGGCTATATAAAGAATACAAATGTAGATAAACTGGCATTTCTGAGACAGGGATGAGCATTTAATTTAATTTTGTTTTCAGTCTGGCTATCTGATGGCAGAAGAAATAAATAAAAAGGATTGGAAAGCCATGCATATAGAGTGGGTGGCCATGACGCAAACATGGAACAAAATCTTCTAATTATGTATCAAACTTAATACTGATCAGTACATTCTCATCAAAGGTGGGATCTAGGGGCCGGCACTGTGGCATAACAGGGTAAGCTGCCTCCTGCAGCACCATCAACCCATAAGGGCACCGGTTCATATCCTGGCTGCTCTACTTCCGATTCAGCTCTCTGCTATGGCCTGGGAAAGCAGTGAAAGATGGC